ATACAAACAGTGTTTTAAAGGAAGATCAATACCAGCTCAATACATTTATGGTCATATAGAAAAGGGGTATCATAACCAATGCAATTTAGAGATTAATAGAATGACGCTACAAAAATCAATTTATCCTTCATAGCTCTAGAACGCATAAATGAGCGATGATTACAGTCCAGCGTTCACAGAGAGTCTCAGTGACAGGTCATCTTCTTTCTCTAAGGACTTCCCTATATAAAATAAAATCACCCTCCCCTTTCCCTTTTCTCCTTCTCTGTCCTCTCCTTCTCTCAGAGCAAACAACCTTCACTCCTCTTGTTATTAACTAAATATGAGCACTTTGACCAGGGGACAAAAATTCAATATTTTCCCCACCAAATATTTAAACCAAGCAAATAAACAGACAAATAAATAGGTCTCCCAGGCGACCTGGGCGAGTGAGGAGGGCGGGATGTAATTTGACGGGCGAGTTATTTGGGAGACTGAAGCCCACAGCTATTCAGGGGCTCATTTCAGCACCTGTCAATCAAGGAGCAGAGAGGAGAGTGTGTAGGTGTGTGTACGACTGTGAAGTGGCCAAGCGCACATACACTCTCTTCAAGGTCAGAGCAGATAAGGTGAATATCGTACCTGATGAATATATCACCCTCTCCTTCTTCATCTCCTCTCGCAGGCCTATCGAAACATCTTAATTCCCCACTAATAGCCGGCTTCATCCATCCTGTGTCCAGAAAATGCATTAAACATGATAAGAAACAAAGAAAGAAAGAAAGAAAGAGAGAGAGAGAGACAGAGAGAGAGAGAAAGGAAAAAGATTTGAAATAGGAGACACACAGGCCAGCAATATTATGAAGGCCTTTCATCCATATTAGATGAGTTGCAGATGACTCTATTATGTCAGGCTAGATTGAGCTGAAATAGAGAGTGAGAGAGAGAGAGAGAGAGAGAGATAATGCAATAAACCCACTACCTCTCATAAAACAAACACTTATAAACACCAGTGCCGCACACATCATACAGACAGTCTTCTTGAACTTTAACCACCTCAAATACAAATGGTTGCAGTACTCAGGCTGGGGAACTGTAGTGGCTTTGGTGTGTTTGAGGTTTTTGGGGCCAGTGCTGTGGGACAGGACAGGAAGTGGGTCATACAACATGACAGGCACTTCTAAAGTGGTCCCTGAGACCAAAGCCATTGCAGAGTGGAAGGACTTCAGAAGGCCACCGACACACACACACACTGTATCTCTCTCTGGAGCGCTGCAAATACATTTCTAAAGTCAGGTCACAGCAGAGTTTAGCAGAATGAAACTGTCAACAGCACAGACACGCACACATTGGAATCCTTTAAGCCAGATCACAGCAGTGTCCCTTCACTCAAGTGCCAAAAATGTGCTCCAAGAGTTTCACATCACTATCAGCGCATCAGTCAAAAGTCAGATCCGTTCCATCACAAACACAGACACACACACTGCTGAGAGCCGTGGATCCTCGCATCCTGTAATGAGCAAACTAAGAGCCTCTGTTCTCAAACTGGGTGAACCACATACCTACACTGGAGGGAAAAAAAATCAATCCTCATCAGTATTTTTTTTGTTTGTTTGTTTTCTAGTAAAAATTTCTAAACATCCGTAAACTAGATACATTTGCACACAATGTAAATTGTGTAAGATATTAAGAGATTACATCTTGAATTCTTACCACATTTATGCTTTATGCATAAATCTCATTAAATCTAGTTTGATTTATGCTCAAAACAAGAAAACAACAATAAAGGTAACTCATGATATATCCTCTGTGAACAATTCTATAAGTGGTAATATTAGTCTCATTTTCTCATTTAAGGCTTAGATACACTGCTATTCAAATTATTTTTTTTATAAATTAACTGTTTTCAGAAGTGACAGTAAAGACATTTATAATGTTATAAAATATTTCTATTTGAAATAATTGCTTAAATAAGAAAGTTTCTTGAGCACCAATTGATCGTATCAGAACGACTGGATCATGTGACACTGAAGACTGGAGTAATGACTGCTGAAAATTCAGCCATCTCAGAAAAAAAAAGTCTATTTTACAATATATTAAAATAGAAAAAAGTTATATTATTTCACAATATTAGTCTTTTTACTGTATTTATGATCAAATAAAAAGAATCCTTGGTGACCATAAAATACTTTAATGCAAACTTTTGAATGGAGTTTGTTCTCTGAAAACAAGCCTATATTTTATTTTATTAACCTAATTATCAACCTTTTATTAGCCTAGCATCTTTTATCATATCTCTGTTGCTGACATCTTATAAAAGTACTAACAACACACTTTAACAATACTGAAATCACTATAATGCACAATTTATGATCTCCTGTACTATGGGGCCATGGTTGTTAATATCAGGGGGTCACAGGGCTGTTATTCCCCATTGCTTAGGCAGCCATGACAGGCTTGAGTGGCCGTTTAACCCACACAGCACTGAAGAGTGTTGTCATGGCAGCATCAGGCAGTAACCATGAGGCTCATGGGTCTGACAGGTCCACTTATTGCTGGTACACTGGGAGAACTGCATTATGTGTTCATCATGTGGACACACACACACACACACACACACGGTGCTCTTGGGACTCGCTGTCTCACTGAATAACTCACTCTTCAGTCTGTGTAAAGATGTGGACTCATGAGAACATGTGCACACACACTCTCACAATCTCAAGTTTGCTATGATATTGCCTACACGTATCAGACATCTGCTTTTTTGAACAGAAAAAAACACAAAATTATTATCTCTTACAGGACAGATCACCTTAAAATTTCAATGCTGCCATAACTTTCTTCAACTCACCTATATGGCTTTCTTCTGTAGAACACGACAGGAGATCTGTGAAAGAATATTGCTACTGTTTTCCACACAATGAAAGCATGCAATAAACACAAGCTGTCAAGCTATAAAAAGGAAAGAAGAAACACCATAAAAGTGGTTCATATGAATCATGTGCTACATAAGTCATGTCTTCTAAAGCTATACATTAGTAGAGAAAATAAAAGGCAGAAATGTATGTTGTTAATCACAGAGAACATCCAGTCATTACGGGGACCACAACGGTAGTCTGAAATGCAAAGTCCTAATTTAGTAACTTACATGAAAACAAAACACAATGGCTGTAAAATTCATATTTGAGCTATGACTGTGTGTAATTTATGCTGTAAAACAAACTGTGAGCATCTCTTCAGGTAATGTTAACCACAGATTTGAATCATACATCCGGGTATTGTGACTACAAATTTAACCATTTGATGTTTCTGTTCAGCACAGTGTCGTATAACACATTATCAGTCATAGCAGGTATGGATGTATTATAACATTGCATTTGTCCTTCAAATCATGTATGTTGTTTGAATGTCACCTCTAAGATGTGATCCGACTTTAACTTAGCTGTCAATCATATAATAAACGGCCTGCCTGTATAGGAAACACACACACACACACAGGTACTTATAATTCCACACGCACCTGGTCATCTTCCTCTCACCTACAGTAATGCAAGAGATAGAAACTACCTGTGCACACATGCCTGAAAACAGACTGCGGTGAAGTTTAGAGTGGCCATTCACGATCACCTGCTCACCTGAGGCTCAGCCATCTATCACACCTTCACTGCAGACTAGAGGAAACACCTCCATCCCCTACAGGCAACACACACACACACACACATTTTAATAGAGCTGAGACAAAAGCTCAAATCAGTCTATTTGACCCCATAATAGCTTTGAGGGGAAAATAAATATATTAAGGGGAAGTCGTGGCCTAATCGTTAGAGAGGTGCCGCAGCAAAAAAATGGCTGCCCACTGCTCCGGGTGTGTGTTCACTGCTGTGTGCGTGCACTTTGGATGGGATAAATGCAGAGCACTAATTCCGAGTATGGGTCACCATACTTGGCCACATGTCACGTCACTTTCACTTTCACTTTAAAGACTGATACAAATACACTTCAGATCAAAGCAGATAAATAGACATCATCTTTCTCACACACTAAATTGAAAGTTTGATCCAGCAGTCTAAAACTTTGAAATCTGAGATACAAAATCGAATTGAAAATTTAAAACAACGTAAATAATGCAAAAAATGTGCAAGATTGTGTATTTCAAGGTCACCAAATCAAATTTTTGGCAGTGATCATGTGAATCATGCACACAAAAGGCCAGATTTGTCTTATGTTTGGAGTTCAAGTCAATAAACCACATACCAAACCATTCAGAAATGTGTCAATTTTTAGATTTAGACTTTTCACTCCACTTTAGACTTTTCACTCCAATTAAAATATTGTAATTTATAATGAAGGGGGAAACCTTAAATCTAAAGAATGCAAAATAAAGGCATTTTCACTGGTCTCAGACTTTTTGGACCCCACTGTATATAAAATGTATAGGTAACACTTCTATTATTTCATATTAATTAAATTAATTACTCATTAATATATTATATAAAGCTGAAAAGATACATAGGTTATTTATACTGATATAAAATATGTACAGTGCTTAAACATTTGTATCTATCTGAATGCACAATCAAATTATCATCTGTTATGCATTACATAATGTAATAATAATTCCCTGATAACTTTGAATGAAAATTTGAAGAAACTGCTACTAATATACAAATCAAATTCATACAAAAAAGAACAAATACCCATGCACTGATTGATAAACCAGCATTGTATTTTATTTATATCATAACTAGTGCTTTGCACACACAACGCTTTCAGAAAAGCAGAGGGGCTTGTGGTACTCCGGAGAAAGAATACAGGAAAAAAGAAAAAAGAAAAAATAAACACAATGAAAGAAAGATTATATATATATATTTATATTTAAATACCAACCTCACAGCATTTACTCAGCAAGAACACAATATTTGGCAACCAATGACAACTCTAAAACTTCAAAGGTAAAAAACACATTTAAGCATCTTCATCGAATACTATAATATGGATTTCTGCATTAACACTGACTTGTGGTACTCCGGAGAAAGAATACAGGAAAAAAGAAAAAAGAAAAAATAAACACAATGAAAGAAAGATTATATATATATATTTATATTTAAATACCAACCTCACAGCATTTACTCAGCAAGAACACAATATTTGGCAACCAATGACAACTCTAAAACTTCAAAGGTAAAAAACACATTTAAGCATCTTCATCGAATACTATAATATGGATCTTCTGCATTAACACTGATGACATAGAAAAACATAAACATAAAAAGAAAGCTGCTGGACTTCAACAGTTATCCCTTTTTCATTCATCCTTCATTCGTTTAGAGGACATCAGAGTGCTTTTCTTCATCCTTCAATTGTTTAACGATGTTTGAGTGCATTCCTCCCGAAACTGGCAGCATTTCAGACATAGGCAGGCATTATTAAAAGGTTAGGAGCCAATGAGCTGCGAGAATTATGCGACGCAAGGGGTGTAAGTTCTCTTGGAGAGCTCAGCAAGAGCTGCCTATCGACACTACTCGGCTTGGGAGAGAAACATCTTATGTACACATACACACACATTCATATTCAGTCACACAGAAATAAAACCGTCTAAAAGATTACATACACATGTGCGTGCCTCGTACCTACATGCACCTAATATAGACGAACATCACCGACAAAGTCAGTCTAACAACTTTTACTTTACCTTCTCCCTACAAACAGTCAGATGGACGTGCACACGCAAACATTCAAACACACTTAGGGCAAATTCAAACACACTAAATCCCTAGACAATACGCCAGGTGAAAGGCAACGGCACGCATATGACACCCCTTAATGATGATGTCATACACCCCCACAATGTCATATTTCATTTTTACCGACTTTCCCCCTAAAAAGATGGCACACAGACAAACACACACGCATAGAGGAGAAGTGAACTGTGTATACATCTACATAATGTCTGTCCAAAATAAAAATAAAAGCTTCAGAGGATATATGGAGAACTCAACTACATACATTAATGGATATATATAGCTATATTTATGGATAGGTATCATATGCTACTACTGATATGTGTCTATGCATTGTCATTGTAACACTACAGACTCTGTTAAAGTGATAGTAAACGATACTGATGGAAATAGGAAATAAAATGTCCCGTCCAGATGTCACCCTGTATCCATCCTTAAATCTGTCCATACATCCGAGTGGATCTCAATGTGGTGTGTTTGACGATGAATGTTGGTCTTCAAGCAAGGAAGCAAGGAGAAACTAAACAGGTGTGTTGTATTGTTTTTTGGTTTTTTTTTGTCACCTGTGATCTCCATCCCGGCCTCTATCTCTTAACATCCACCTCATAACATTCTTTCTCTCCATTTCACCTCACATCCTAGGAAGAAAGAAAAAACACAAGAAAGTCACATTTTGAGCATTTATGGCTGAACATTCCTTAAGGCAACTTTCGATGATTTTAATAACAATCCCTAACATAAGACATGCGCAAAAACACAGTAACGGTAATTCACCTCCAGAGAAGCGACTCAACGCGGTTGATGATTTCAGAGAGGTCAAAGGGGAGGGGCATGTCAGGATCTTCATTACTCCAATAGGGTCGGTCGACAGGCGCTTCCTCAGGGGGCAAGGTCTGTGCCAAGCTTGACTGGCATCTATTGGGACACAAAAGAGATCAACAACTTTATTATTAATAGAAAACAGTTATTTTAGATCTTTCATAAACATTAAAAAAATAAAAAATACTGACTACTAACATTACCAAAACCCCTGAACGGTTGTGTATTTACGCTAAAAATTTATTTACAGTGTAAAATTGATGCGAAAACACCTCCAGGTTACTGCATGAGATTTCCAGGGAGTGTGTGAATAGTTAATTTCGCCCTAAACACACAAAGAAGTGTGTGTTTGTCTAGGGGCAGTCCACACATTCATTTCCTGATTTCTTTACGACATACAATAACCTGCCCTAATGACACGTTTATAAAGGAACGAAGGACTGCACAGCTTGTGTGTGTGTGTGTGTGTGTGTGTGTGTGTGTTTGTGTGTGGTATGGCATCATCCCCTTGCTCTTCCTTTGAACGAAGCCTCAGGAATGCACTTCTGCAATCCTACAATAGTATGCAGTGTAAATCACCTTCTAAACACACCTGGCCAGTGCTGATTAATATCTCAATCATTTACACCTGGGCAGGTGAAGCCTGTAGCTTTAATTCCACAGCAACTTTGATGTTACTGCATTTCATTTTGTCAGCTAATTAATATACAGTGTGGTTTTCACTAGAATGTGACAATATTGCTTCTCATAAATATGACAACTGGGTGTGTTAGTGAGAATGTACAGCATCTCTGGATGTGTGTATGTCTGTGTGTGTGTGTGTGTGTGTGTATGTTGTTACTGCATTTCATTTTGTCAGCTAATTAATATACAGTGTGGTTTTCACTAGAATGTGACAATATTGCTTCTCATGAATATGACACAACTGGGTGTGTTAGTGAGAATGTACAGCATCTCTGGATGTGTGTATGTGTGTGTGTGTGTGTGTGTGTGTATGTGAGAGAGAGAGTGTGAGTGTGTGTGTGTGTCTGTGTGTGTGTGTGTGTATGTCTGTGTGTGTGTGTGTGTATGTCTGTGTGTGTGTGTGTGTATGTGAGAGAGAGAGAGAGAGAAAGAAAGAAAGAAAGAAAGAAAGAAAAAGGCACAGCCTGCTGTTGTTATTAATCAAAAATACTATAAAAGATGAGTGTGAACTTTTAACTGCACATGAAGAGAAATCAGGTATGTGTAACACTGGCTCAGTAAAAGGGAATTGTTTATATCATCAGTGGTTATTTTAGGGTAGTGAATAGGAATAAATAGTAAGGGTAATGAGAATTTCAACATGCATCAAGATACTACAACTAAAAGGTTTGGGGTCAGTGTTTTTTTTTTATAAATTAACTTTTATTCAGCAAGGAGACATTAAATTTGATCAAATCAAAAGTGACAATAAAGACATTTTTAGTGTTCCAAAAGACCTCAATTTAAAATAAATAATGTTCTTTTACACTTTCTATTATTATTTAAAGAATCCTTTAATTTAAATGAAGGAATCCTGAAAAAAAAGTAGCCTATTTTTTAACTGTAGCCTGTTCAGTTCAGTGCCATTAATAGTACTGACACACTCCACCTTTAACAGAGGGACAACCACTATCCTCACAAGCACACAAAGTTCTCCCACAAACACTTGTCTCAAGCAAACATAGCCTACAGTAAAAACTCATCGTCCTCCACTCAAAGACTGCAGCGGTGCCCAGAGGAGGCCAGTGTTATGGATGAGTCTGTGCTGTCCAGTGGTCAGAGGACAGCCCCTCTCTGACACTATTTGTGGTTATATATTTTGTAAGGGCCACTTAATGGTGGAGTGGCTCTCCTGTTAAGTGCTGTCTCTCCAACTGCACCGGCCACATGAGAGGCTGCATTACACGCCGAGGGTGGAATTAGCATATAGTACTTCAATATATCATCCTCATACTGCATCAGGGCTTGACAATAACATCCGTTAACATGCACTAAGTACCCTAATGTAGCACATCAGTTCATAAATAATATGAGAGCTTGTTCTAAACACATGCGTGTGTGTGTTTAAACTCTCTCATCATTTACTGGATTATTGGAAGAGACAGAGAAGAGGGAACTGAAGTAAATAGACTGTGGTGAAAGAGACCGCAATCATACAAATGAATGCCAGCAATAAATATTCACATAAACATACGCACTAAGAGGGATGGTTTGCACAAAAGTGAACATTTTGGCATTGTTTATTATGTTGCTCCAAACCTGTAAACGACAGGTGGAACACAAACAAAGGTATTTAACAGAATGTCCATGGTAGCAATAAAAAAAATACTTTTACAGCATTAATTGACCTTAAGATAATATTTCACCATAAAGTAATATCATGTAAAATTTCAAGTTGTATAAATTCATATTACTGTTTGGGTCAGTATTTTTACATTACATTGATCAAAAGCGAAAGTATAGACATTTCATAATGTTACAAAAAATTATAATTTAAATAAATGCTGTTCCTTTGAACTTTCTATGCATCAAAGAATCCTGTTCAAGAATCAACTGTGATAAGAAATTTCTTGAGAACCAAATCTGCATATAAGAGTGATCTCTTTCCATACTATGAAAGTGAATGCGGACCAGGAACTATTGAACTCCAAAGATTACAACGCAGCAGCAGAAAATCATAACATTGTTATATGACAGTATTTCATTAAAAAGAGAGAACATTTTAACTCTTCTATTACTGATAAAATATCTTACTTGACAGCTATAGACACCATCCACTTCCTTTTGTGTTCCATGGAAAACACAAGTCATTTCGAAAGACAAGATGGTGAATAAATGATGACAAGATTTAAGGATAAGGATATCGTACAGCGTTGTTTGTGGTTAAAATAAACAAAACAAAAAAATACAAATTAAAAACACCCTCGGGTTGTTCAAGTTGTTTGTTTCCTTTGTTGAGCACAAAAGAAGAATTCGGAAGAATGTTAGTTACCAAACAGTTGTCGGTTGCCATTGACTTCCATAGTATGGGGGAAAAAAATACTATTGATGTCAATGGCTACCGTCAACTGTTTAGTTACCAACATTCTTTGGAATTTTTCATTTTTGGGTGAACTATTCCTTTGTACTGAATCACCTCTGAATCATGAATATGCATAACTGAATCATTTAGGTTACAGAAATTCACATACACATAACCCTGCAACCATCTGACTCCCTATCGCATTTCCACACGCAGCCAGTGGTTAAGAGTAAAGACACAAAGTGTGTGTTGGAAGTATATTTGGAAGTGTATGCCAACCATCCATACAGATTAACCTCTGCGAGATGCAGTCTACCTCTCCCATCTGACCCGCGCTCAGGAGAGATCGACGTTACAATCACTCATTTCAATTTGCTCTGAAACCCTATAACCCTACAGCCAGGCCTGCTGGAATAGCGAGCTAATGTGGAGGGAAGGAGATCTATCACCTCTGTTCTTCTGGGGGGCGGCTCACATACTCCCACCCGACACATTCGCCGCACTTGAACTTCGACTCGGTCTGCGAACAATGCAACGCACACACACCTGGCCTCCCAGCTGAAACTAACCACTTTAGCTAAAGTGAGTGTTAATTATGGACAGGCAAAGCAGTCAATAAAAGGTTAATGCAGAAGGCAGTGGATAAATTCCTTTAAGCATTGCATCACTAGGCCATCTCTGGGCGGCACGCAAGGCTCTCTCTGTGTCTGATCAATACATTTTACTGTAATGTTCTCCGCATCGATTTCCCTCGCTCTCTGAATCCTCCTCCAACTGAGATAAACTAGAGGAGAGGGGGAGTGAAAAGCAAGAACGAACTGATAAATGAAATGATTAAAACCTCTTTTCAGTTGGACTTTCCCTCTCTTTGACATATCGCGGTGGTTTATAGCACAGCGCTGGACTTCACCTCCGAGGTCGTACATTACCTGCCCCGCACTCTTAAAGGAAGTAAAATGCCCTTATTAAACAACATCAGAGCTTCTGCCTACCGCCATTACGCTGATAGATGTAGGGCTAAAATGCTGGGTACACAGACAGGAGACAATGCTAATTGCATTAGTCCACCAGGAGATCATTTACAAGCATACAGCTACAAATGGGCCTGTTTGATTAGGACATTAGGGTGATGTTAGCCTGTGCGCTATCATGTATTTGCATGCGATAAGCGTTATTTGTATGACAGCGTGTCTATACGAAGTCTGTGGTTTGTATACGCCTGCTGTGAAATTTACAGGTATTTAATGGTGTTACTCATATGGGGTGAAATTTTTCGTTCTCATTTCAGGCGCACAGGTGTTAAAGGGTGTGTGTAGTTTTACGATTTTTGGCAGTGATTGGCCCTGTTCAGAGAATGCCATCAAACGAGTCATGCAAAAACAAGTGAGTCGATCATAAATCACGATTTGGCTCTAAGGCCCATGCAAGCAATCACATCTCCAATATAAGAGTACGAACAAGCACACTGATAACATCTTCAACAGATTCTTCAGACAGTCTCATTTAAAACTATAAAAAGGGTTTGCCTGGTTATAAAACTTTGTTTTTTTTGTATTGTCTCTGAACTGAACTGGAGACGAATTTAATTAAGATTAAATAAAATGAACTGGTAAAGTTCAAACTGGGTAGTAAGCACTAAACTAAGTTAAATGTATTGCGATATTACAGACTGAATAGATCTGAACGGACATTATTTGTCAATGAGTTTTAGGAACAATAACAACTCAGTTTCATCAAATTTCCTTGTAAGAAAGCAAGTTCTCTGTTAACTGAAGTAAAAAGAAAACTTACATTACAAATTTAAACTAGTCTAGAATACATTTTCATGGCTAGTAGATACGTAGTTTTAAAATCTCAGTAAACATGTCTAAGTGTGTGTGCGGGTGGATTGGTGAGTACGTGAGTGACTGAGTGGTATGTGATTCTTTTAAAGCCTAATAAAACTAGCATCTGATCTACCATTCCCCTAATTAATGGCTACAGAAAAAAACAGACCAAAGTAGTTTCCCTCTTTTTCTTTTTTTTGCCACGTGTGTAAGTGGGTTGGGAGACAATGAGCAGAGCTATATTT